AGTTTTAGGAGGACAAGATGACCACGGGTCCTACTGGTACCGTTATCCAGGAGAAATAGACTGTTTGACTCACCAGATGGCTATTTCGGAGCGTCCAGGGGTGTGCTCTTAAAACTATGATCCTATCCCCGGTAGCATATATACTATATAAAATGCTGGACTGTGACGTTAGTTAGGCGTTGTAYACAGGATAGGCTACGGCCATGAATACTAACTACCAACTAAACTTGCTAAATGTTTTCCAATCGGACCAACTRTGTGTACCATATGTAAGAAAATATGCRCCAAATGTTCACCAAAWCGCCAAAAATTATMGCCAAAATTTTTCTCACAAAAATATATTTAAAAATAACATTTAAAAAAAACTTTTACTTATATAAGAAACTTTTGGATCTTTTCGTATTGTGATGACTAGATTTTAGTCTATCTTTTATTATTATATTATTAATAAGACAAGCAGAGAGAGCTGACATACGCTATTGCTTTTTACTCCCAATAAAAATTATCATAAGTCCGGACCGGTGTTTCCGGTACCGTTTGATACAACTCACTTAACTAATACTCAAAATTATATAATTCGTAAGCAATGGTCGCACATATGCCCTYTGGATTCTGCTTGAATGGGGGTTGTAGCTTCCACCACCTGATTTTATGGATCAGGAACCAGTATGTGGTAACAGACCACTTATATCATCGACCGTTGGCTAGGCGGCCGGAATCCTATTCTAGTTATTATTCTCAATTACTAATATTAAGTCTACTTACAGGTTACTTATAAAATGATATCTAATGTAAAGTTATAATATTGGCAATAAAAATGACAGTAATTTAATAAGGTAATAATGATAAATTGGTAGGTCTAAGTATTGATATTATAGTAGGTTATCTTATTATCAGGAATTCAATACAATAATACTCAATCTTAATTATCTCAACTTTAAAGCACACAAAGTACCTCAAATAAATCTATATTCTATCTCAATTTCAATAATCAATCCAACAATAAAATCATATACACACAGTATACGTCTATAACTATTCTCAAAAATCAATACAATTCACAAAGAAATTCACTCATATTCTTTAGATACTCACAAAGCCTATCTATATTCAACTAATGATTAAAATCTATAACAGAACCAATTAATATTAATAAGACGTAAATCATGGTAGTMATCTCAAAGGGCTAAAATAACACTAATCTAAATACTATGGTTAGCCACGGCTGCCGGCCATTTCCTTTAGACCCGCCTGGCTACCTACAAAAGACCACATCAATCGGGTCTATAATCTAAATACATTATATAAATATCCCATGTACCCTGTCCATGACTAACTTGACAAACATTTAATCTATATTAACTCAGCTGCTGTTTGCTATATACTATCATTACAACTCAAGTCTTTACCGGATCGGCCGCCAATATTGGTCCAGTGCCTACCCCAGTAATTGTTAAGATATATCTATCAACTCTAAATACAGTACAATATCGAGACAATCACCACACCCATATAAATGTGATGCAATGTCGGCCTGACCCCCGTATCTAACTCATACAGTGCAATGAAAAGACGACCCCCACACCTATATACATGTGATGCAATATTGAATCAATCTCTGTATCAAATCAATCATTTATTTTCATACATATAACCACGTCCGCCATACCCTCATATCTATAAATATGATGCAATGTAGGTTCGGTACAATCTAATCCAATCTATCTTCTATTAATCAACTTATTCCTCTAATATAATTGGAGTCATAATCCCCAACAAATCACTTAAACAAATTATATATTCGAGTCTTACAGGTGTCACAATCAAACTAGATTTATTGAATCCCCACTTAAACCGCTACATTTATAAGACTCAACCCAATTTGTGTTTATTCCTGATATTTAACCGAATCAGTTTAATTACTGATATTACCAATATCAACCGACAATCTAATGTCTAGACTCAAACCATKACTAAACTCAACTCAAATATAATCATTGTTATGTTGTTAATAAAAAAACTTATTAATATAAATCATTATTKTMGTATAAATCTATAAATCTATTTCATTCATAAATCTATTACTTCTAATGGTTACCCTGAGGGTAACACTAAACAAGTAATCTATAATATATTCGTATAATTGAAATCAATCATTGCGATATATGTTTAATAAATAACTAATAACAAATAAACTAAACACTGTCTAAGATGTTAAACTATTAAACTATTTGTTATATAATTATAAATAAAATATCTGAATTTAAATAAATCGAATTCGTATCCTAAATCCTATCAACTTAACCTAACCTATTATTACTTAAATGTATATACTTTATAAGTTAATATATTAAATAATTATTAAAGTAATAACCACAATTTAAATACTAAGTCTATACTCAAAATAAATACAACTATTATCTCAATTCTAATTTTAATAAAATATACATCGTATACTACCTGGCCTTCCGGTCAGAGACAAGTATACCTATATCCGTACCTTATTATATATATATATACACCAATACCATCTCATACATTCATATTTAATTACCAAACGTTATCAATAAAAAATATCAAAGATTCAATCATTATATAAATAATACTATAATAATTAAATAGTATTAATACTATCATAGGTCATATAGTCATTGGTCTGTATTAAGTATCAAATACCAATGACTAAGATTTAATCAAATCGATTACTATATTAAATAATTGAAAACCAAATACACTATATTACAGAAATACTAGACAAACCTATAGGTTGTCCTATAAATATATTTATATACTGTATATTACAGCATACAAACCGTACACACGCTAGCAATATAAAACCTACACCGCGCATATACGTGGGTCATAGCCACCGATGCTAACCAATGATAATGAGTAAAACTCATTATCTACTTATTGAGTTTCATATAATTCAGTTAATACGCGCAAGTGCCATACCGATCGGCACTTCCTAACCCCAGACGCGTGTCTATGTTGACTACAACGTCTATAACCATATTTTACACGATACGCATAGTCATGCGCATATACCCAAACCCTAACCATATCGTCGGCCATTTTGAAGATCCCCCACCGGGTTAGTCAAGGCAGAGCAGAGTTACAAGAACTCTACTGGCCCCGACCACCAAGTTTCTGTCGATCCCCCACCCAGCCAATCGCCGCAGAGCAGAGTTACAAGAACTCTACTGGCGTCGACCGCCGAGTCTACCAATATACAATCGAATCATCTCGATTGCATTGAACATGTATATTAAACGCTGCGCCCCGCCCGGCTGCCGTCGGTAATCGGCGCCTGCTGGCCGCTGTCTATCTACTGAACAGTCACTAATGCATAGGACTGGTATCACTAAACTAATTAGAAAATAGTACAACAGTACAACCACACTACCGGTGCACCGCCACCACCTCACATGCGGTGTAATCGGCGAACCTCGAGTACCGATTCAGTCGGTAGAGCAGGGTTACAAGAATCCTACTGGCCGACCGAAAGGTACGGTGAAACGAATTTGACACTTTTAATACATATTATTTATTTGCAACGCTACTTTCTGCCTGCGCCGCCGTCAGAATGGCCATCGCCCGCATCATCGCAATAATTTTAATAGATCAATTGGATAGATTAAAACATTTAATTACTTGACTTAAATTGACTCATCAAACAAAACCATAGAAAGAGAAAGAGAGACCGGTGTAGCCGTCGTGGATGCCAGTGCCTGATTCTTGAGATGTTCAGAGATAATCGCCACAGTAGAATTGATATGATGTCTTGATTTCACAGTGTTAAAAAAACTCTTCAATGAGACGTGGACGCGGTTAGCAGTCCCAAAACTCTTCAATGAGACGTGAACTTGTTTAGCAGTCAACTTAATCGAGATTTTGTGTTGAAAATAGGGGTTTATATACGCGTTTTGAGACATCAATCGATAATAAAAAGAACTATGAAGGCTGAGTATTGATTTTAGATTACTGGTGTTGTATGTGTCCGCCACTGATGGTTGTCTATGGCTACGAATTCGTAGGCAGCGTACGTTCAGATAATTGACGGGTCAATTCAATTTAACGTTACGGCAGTTAATTGTGATTTACTGAATTGTTGTTACAATTATAGTAACTTGGTTAAGATGTATGTGTTAGGCTTTGACCGGTGTTTATAGTCATATAAAATAAAACTGTATTATTTATAACTAAAAGWTATATTAAAAACTAATTTAAAAGTCAATCGATAAATTTAGAAACGGAAATTAATATAAAATTATAATTAGTATCAATWGATAGGTATATCTATTGWGATACCGGCACTTATTACTATATTTAAATCTAATTAGTAATTAATGAGATATTGATAAAATAAAATTATAGTATATATACATACTAAATAATATATTATTGATTATTTGATTGCGAAATTAAAATGGCGGATAAAATAAAAATCAATAATTATAGATAGATACTGAAGACAAAGAAAATTTAAGTGCGCAGATGCCGGCACATTATATATATATATATATATATATATATATATATATATACAGTTGCAATATATATATATATATATATATATATATATATATTAAAAAGTTTTAGTTTTGATAATAATAATAGTAATAATAATAATAAAATAATTAATTAGAAGAGAGAAAGAGAGAGAGAGAGATAGAGAGCAGACATACCCTAAATTTAGTAGTAGTAGTAGTCGTCACAATATTATTAATTTTAATAATAATAATAATAATAACAACACCACTAATAGTAATAATGATAATAATACTAATAATAATTATTTATATATAAAAAATAAATATATATATACTGTATATATTAAAACTAGTTGTCTCTCTATGAGAGACAACTACACCGATCGCAGGCCAAACACATACTGAGGCCTATACCCTACTGGTATTCCCTATACTAGGTATAGTAAACACCTGCCGACCCAACATCTGTCAGTGCGGGCAGTCATACAAAGGGCATTGTTGTCCGCCATGACTGCCAGCACTGGTAAGTATTTCTTTTATTATAGTATCAAATATTTATTGATACCCCTATTTTCTGACACCATAACAGGTTTACGCCTTTATACTTTTAATTCAAAATTTTATTTATKTTAAATAATYAAAAAATAATAATATATAAAAAACTTTAATATAATATAATATAAAATATCTAAAAAAATTATATAAATTAAATTTTACTGTATATACTKTCTACTAATCTAARTATATAATATATATATTAACTACATTTTAATAGTTAATCAATGGTTAAGTGTTTAGATTAATCACTGATTTGAGAGTGATTTGTGTGACAAATGGTGTCCAGTATTTATACTGTTTATGAAATTAAACTTTGATTTTACATAAATTATATCTTTTTTGAATTTGTTTTATTACAATATATTATGTGTTATCTGTTTTTGTCAAATAAGTTGAAAGTTTTGTAAATATTTTTTTAAAGTAATATTTTTAGTTAARAGTTTTATAAGTGTTTGTGTCTCACAACTGGATATCACTGTTGTTGGTGTTGTTTGTGTGTGTTTAACGAAAACCGGGAGATCTCGTGTTTTTCGGAACCCCTGCCTATCACGTGGGCATCATATCGGGTACAAACACGTTCATTCACGCGCCAAAAACAGGCGATAAAGTCAAACAACAAACAGTATTTATTTGACTAATAGACAGTCATATGTTTAAAGTATTTAATATTATTGTAAACTTTTATATTTTATTTATAACAAAAATCATATACTAATACAATAATTTATGTTTGTAACAAATAACAATAAAAAATTAATTGTTTTTATAATAATTTTTTTAATTGCATTATACAGGTAATTTATTAGTTTAAAGTAAAATAAATAGAAATTTTGTCTTATTAATCAATAATATTATATTTTTAAAATAAGTTATAAATACTTATACGTCATATAATTAGTTATAATTAATTATTTGTTATTTTTATACATAATCTTAACAATATTTATATCATATTTATGTTAATTATTATGTTTAATATGCATTTATAATCTGTATTAACATTACTGTGAATGTGATGACTGAACCCAAAAATATGAACAAAAATTTCAAATCCATAACAAACACATTTAATGCCATATATTTTGTGTTATCATAATATGTCATCAAATTATCTTTTATTATACTCTTAATTAATAACTCATGTGATGTCATATTAATGTATTGATTACCAAACATTGACATTAATTGTTGAACAGTTGGTCTATTTGTTTGAAAATAATCAATTGATATTAAATACAAAACATTAATAACAAAAATACTCAAATATTCAATAAAACTGAATATAAAATTTGAATTATAAATATTTTGATTATTATTTAACATTAGTGTTGTTAATCTTAAACATGTTGTCACAAAAATTTCACAAAAACTTAAAAAAGGCAATAAACCCAATGTTTTGTTGAATTCATTTTTAATTTGATTTATTTTTCTGATTTTTTGATCAAAAATTAAATAATTTTGTTTAATTACACATTCACTGTATAATTGTTTTTCCATTAGATATATGCCATACATTAGTATTATTAATAGCATAGGTATGCCTAATAGCCAACCAAACATAATAATAGCCCATAAAAATAATGTCATTTTTTCATAACAACTTAATGAATTGAAAAATAATAYAATCCATATTAAGTTAAATAAAATTATAATAACCCAAATAGTAAAAAAAATATTTGATTTGCTATTTATTAAATTTTTATTTTTTAAATTGTTTATTTTATTAATTAGATTAGTAATCTTTGATTTATTTATTAGAAACCATAATCGACTAATAAATATTATAATTGATTTGATAACAACTGATATTAAAAATAATGAATATTTAATTGTATTAATTTTATTATGATTTATTACATCAATAAAGATAATAATTATTATAAATACACTTAGTATTATAATTAATAAACTAATTATAAAAATTAAATAGTAAAAAAATTTTGTTTTAATTTTAATTAAATTGATTCCCATTAAAAACATTATATGAAAAAATAAATGCATATTGTTTTGTTTGTAGATTAATATGTTTACTTAATAAAAAATAAATAACATAACAATTATGTTAATAATTTTTATAAACTAATAAATTTGTGAAAAAATATATGATAAATAATAAATTATATTTAAAATATGTAGAAAACAATTTTGATTTAAATAGAAAATTATTAATATTTTAAGTATAAATTTTATCTAATATTATAGAAAAATTTATAAAATATAATCAATTTATTGATTCACTCGTAATAACTACAAAAATAAGATATGATAATAATAACAATATTTTTTTAAAAATAAAATTAATAAATAGTTTTAACAAATAAACATTATTAGAGATAGAACTGTATATTATTATATTATACAATAAATTCATTTAGTTTTAATATTACAAAAGTTTATAAGATTTGTTTTGATATAGACTTTAATAGATTGACAATTTAATTAGAATACATATAAAATTAATATTATTAATAAAATAATAAAACTAGAAAACTATAAAAAAATAAAATATTCAATTTATTATTTAGTTGTTAAATATATTTAATTTTATAATTCAGTATATTATCGAAGATAATAAAAATATTTATATTTTTCGTATTGATTATTCAATATTTATATATTTAAGTTATTAGATTTGTAATGGATATTTGAAAATTAGAGGTTATTTTTAATATGAATGAGTCAAATGCTATTCAAAGAGATTATTCAATATTCAAATAGCAATCAGTATTCATATTTCAGTTAAAATTAAGAGTTTATAATATATTTTATATGATTTAAAAGTTTAATAATTCAATATTCAGTTATAATTAGTACTCAATATTCAGAGAATCAACTATTCATATGATATAAGTCTAATATCGAGTAATTCAATGATAAAGATATGATAATTAGTATTATTTAAAATATTTAATATATTGAATCAGATTTCTAATATTTATTGTAAATTTCCTAATCTAATGATTAATGCAATTATGAATTTATGTCTATATAAGCACTTGATTATTGAAATGTAAATTCAGTCCTAGAGTTAGTCCTAAGAGAGAAGTCATAAAAGATAGTCTAAGAGAGTGAGGACTCAGAGAAGGCGGCCTAAGGAGGTCCGACCTAAGAGAGAGGGACAGAGAGCCCATAAATATACAGAAAACATCATTATCTATATTTATGTTCATTTTGTATACTTTTATAAATTTAATTTATTATAAATAAAGTGGTTTATTGTTTACGAAATGTGATGTGATTTAGATATTGATTGTGAATAGAGTTAAGATATAGAACGCCTATCAAGTGATAGTGTGATTACGAGTAGTGCTACAGAAGAGATCGGAATCGTGAGGACGCGTGACTTATATTGGAAGTGATTATTCGACTGCGATATTGCGAGACCAGACATACTGTCTGAATTAGATCTRAGAGTACCTGAGCTTTGAGCTATAGTTCCTTGTTTATGGTCGGCKTAAAATACCGTCCATTACAAGTGGTGGAGGCGCCGGGTAGATGTTAAAAGGCGCCTAAAAGAAAGTCAACTGTCCTTTACAAGTATTGGAGGAGCTGTTTGATTATAGATATAGAAGATTTAAGAGAAAATAGTCTACGAGTGGACCAGATTGTCTCGACTATTAGAAACAGACTGTGGACCAGATTGTCTGCAGATATTAGAAGAAAGTTAAAGACAACTGTCCATTACAGATTGAATAGCAAATTCACTATTATATAAATAATTATCTAATTATACTAAATTATGAGATATTTTAAATACATAAAATTTATTTAGTTAAAACTATTTTATTTGTCATTTTTTATATTAGTTTCAATATACAGTATACCTAAATATTATTTATTATTTGATAATATATTAAAATATATTTGATACAACATGTTTCTAATTTAATATTTAAATAACTTAGATCACATTATATATTTTTTATTTTAATAAAACATAGAATTTTATTAATATTTAAACATAAATAAATTTTTAGTTTGCATTAATAATTTGTATTAACATAACTGTCAATGTAGTGACTGAACCCATAAATATAAACAAAAATTTTAAATCCATAACAAATAAATTAAATGCCAGATATTTGCTGTTAGAATAATATGTTAATAAATTAGTTGATATAATATTTTTAACTAATAGTTTATGTGATGTCATATTAATGTTTAGATTTTCAAATGTATAAATTAATTGTTGAATTGATGGTCTGGTTGTTTGAAAATAATGAATAGATATTAAATAGAATATATTAATACAAAATATACATAAATATTCAATAAAACTAATAATAAATATTGGGGTATATTTGTGATCACAATTTATCATTAATATTGTTATACGCAAAAATGTTGTCACAAATATTTCACAAAAACTTATAAACGGTAATAAACCCAATGTTTTGTTAAATGTATTTTTAAAGTCATTTATTTTGCAAACATTTCGATCAAAAATCAAATAATTTTGTTTTATTAAACATTCATTATATAATTGTTTTTCCATTAGATATATGCCATACATTAACTGTATTAATAGCATCGGTATAGCTAATAGCCAACCAAACATAATAATAGCCCATAAAAATAATGTGATTTTTTCATAAATATTTAATGAATTAAAAAATAATACAATCAATATTAAATTAACTATAATTATAATAACCCAAATAGTAGAAAAAATATTGGATTTGCTATTCAATAAATTTTTATTTTTTAAATTGTTTATTTTATTAATTAGATTAGTAATTTTTGATTTATTTATTATAAACCATAATCGACCAAATATTATTAAAATTGTTTTGATATTTACGGATATTATAAATAATGAATTTTTAATTGAATTATTTATTATGAAATTGATTGTAGTATTCAAAGTAACAATATTCATAAATAATATGAATAACAAAATACTTATTGATATTAAATTACAAAAACAAATTTTAATTTTATTATCAAATAAATTGATTCCCATTAAAAACATTATTGAAGAAAACAATAGCATTATGAATATTTTAGTATTATTTACTTTTACTAAAATTTGATAAATTAATTCTTATTTTTTAAGAAAATTTTCTAATAAATATTATTTAAAAATTTCTAATAAAAACTTACTTACTTATTATACAAAATATAATTTATTCATTTGATTTTTTAAAAATCAATTGCTTTAACAATAACTATATACTTATATTTATTCAATATTTATGTAGTTTTATTGATTTTATTGCAATAAACAAAATATTAATAATTTTAACAACAACTATTGTTAAAAACAAGTTTTATATATACTTTAATTAATTAACTATTATAATATTTTATTAATATAAATTATAATAATTAAAATCATTTAATAAACACGTGTAATAAACAAATTATACTCACAGCAACTAATCTTAACAAAAAAAAATAATTAATAGTTATATTGAATAATAATAATAAATTATTATATGATTTTATTTATAGAAATATTTACAATATTTATAAATAGTTTACAATTTATAAAACACTTGTGAAACTAATTAATTAGTAATTGGAAAATTATTACAATTATTATTAATATTAAATTACTTTAACAAATTGCTTATACAATTATATATTATAATTGTATGAATAAATTTATATAAATAACATTGTAATACATTGATTATAGAATAAATAAAATAATTAATGAAATACTAAAATAGAAAACATTGTACAGTATATCAATTCATTTTAAATTTAAATTAAACTAATCTAGTAGATGAGCATGGTAGAAATATAAATTATCTGAATTAATGATATTATATAACATTTGGACAATTTTTGTAACCATAATATGATGAATAAACAAATGATGAGCGCATCCATTAAATAAATAAGTAATTCGTTAATTAAAATACATTTTCTGATTCCATAACTTGTCATTGAAATGATTGTCAATACAAAACTTGGAGATAAAATTAAATGACTAAATGACTAAACTGTCCACTCGGTGACGGTGTCCTCCTTGTTTGGTGTCCACTAAATACAAGTTTCGGTGTGAAAGCAGTTAATATGAGTTGAGTTGCGGTGTATGTGAGAGACAGTCTTGTCTTTCCTTAAATTTATCCTTATATTTGCCGTTCATGTCTAGTGTTCCTCACATATCCTATATAAAGGATAGTGATTTAAAACAATTGGTCAGTTATTTCTAAGGCATTCCTTATGTTTAGGACATATATATTATAAGCCGTTGCTGTCATAAATGTCTGAGCATTGGAACAGTAGACACAGTAATTGCCTTCCATTGTAATACTATTCAATGCCACAAATTTTATGTCATTTATCTCAAAAATTTTTGTTAATAATATTTCACAAAATATTAACAATAATTAATTAACGCTTGAAATTAATAAGAATTTAGTAGTTTCTATGAATTTACTATTTTTATGATAAACCATTTGAATTAAATCTCTTTAAAGTGACAAACTGTCAGCCAGTGATACTTAACTATAGTTTCAAAAATATGTGTGGTTTATGATTGCAATAAATAAATTAAAATTTTAAAAATAATTAATTAAATATATTTCAATGTTAATATAAAAATTATATGAAATTTATTATATAACTTATTTTATCAGAAGTTATTATTTATTAAACGTATTTCATTATATAAATAAAATTTAAGTAAACATAAATTATCTAAAAATTATAAATTTATTATTTATTTTCATTTGTTTAAATTAACTATAATTAAAGTCCGATATCAGTTAGTAATGCGATTACCGTTTGGTTTTGACTTTTAAAAATTTTTGTTACATTTAATATAGTACTTTAAACTATAAAATATAATTTAATATATTTTTAGTTTGTTTTTTTTAACTTAGCAACAATTAAAGTAAATAAAAGTATTAAATATTGTATTAAATACTGGATAATAAAATAACAATAATACTCTATAATATAACAACAAATTACAAATTATAATGGGTAAATTAATTTATTATTAGTACAAAATCATAAATTATGATTTGTTTGATTTTATATATAAAATATAAATAAACTTAATAAATAAAAAGCACTTTTATATCAATTTCAATATAACATATATATGTATTATATCGTAGATAAATATTACATAATAAATAGCAATTGTATAATAAGTATTGCATTATTTGTTTGCCTGTTTGTGTATATGTTTATTAAGGTTCAACATAATTAGCTTAAATGAGATAAAATAAATACTATTTTTTAGTATAAATAGGAAACCTTTTTTGTAAAATAAATTAAGTTAATAAATTATTATATTAAAAAATTATTTAATTTTCTAATTGTATTAGTTTTAAAAAATACTAATTAATATGTCTAAAACAATATTACTGTTTCTAATTGTTTTTACTATTTATACAATTGGTTTGTCATTAAATTTGTTTTTACTAAAACACTAAATGATTTTCTAATATTTTTTTCAGATAATTGTATAGCCGGTGGTCCGGAAATAGTATCCGCCGCCCGTTCACAATATGATGTTCCCTATTCATGGGGTGGCGGCAACTGGAAAGGAAAATCACGTGGTACTGGTAAAGGTGCGGGAACTGTTGGTTTTGATTGTTCAGGACTGGCCCAGTATGCCGTTTATAAAGGCACCGGAAAAATTATCGGACGTACCGCTGCTGCTCAGTCAAGTGATAGCCAATGTCAACGCGTGCCGTATAGTCAACGAAAACCGGGAGATCTCGTGTTTTTCGGTACCCCTGCCTATCACGTGGGCATCATATCGGGTACAAACACGTTCATTCACGCGCCAAAAACAGGAGATAAAGTCAGACAACAAACTATTTATTCGACTAATAGACAGTCATATGTTAGTCGATGTTTTTAAATTAAAGTATTTAATATTATTGTAAACTTTTATATTTTATTTATTATATAACAAAAATTTTTTATACTAATACAATAATTTATGTTTGCAACAAATAACAATAAATATTAATTCTTTTAATAATAAAAAATTTATAATTTCATTTAAATTTATTAATTTAAAAATAATATTTATAGCACTTATGTATTATAAGTCATATTTTAAAAATAAGTTATAAATATTTATACATCATACAATTAGTTAAAAGTTTTAGTTATTTTTGTACATAATCTATAAATAATAATTATAGAGTAGTTATTATTATTATATGTAAATTATTATATTTAATAAGCACTTATAATCTGTATTAACATTACTGTGAATGTTGTGACTGAACTCAAAAAGGCGAACAAAAATTTTAAATCCATAACAAATATATTAAACGCCAAATAATTATTGTTAGCATAATATGTCATTAAATTAGTTGATATTATATTTCTAATTAATAGCTCATTTGATGTCATATTATTGTATTTATTCATAAATGTAGAAATTAACTGATCAACACTGGGTCTATTTGTTTGATAGTAATTAATGACAATTAAATAAAAAACATTAACCAAACAAATACATAAATATTCAATAAAACCAATTGTAATACTTTCGTTGTGTTCATCTCTATTAGGATTGATTGTTATATGAGTTAAACGCAAACAAGTGGTCGAAAATATTTCACAAAATGATAAAAACGGAAATAAACCAAATGTTTTGTTAAACTCTTTTCTTAATTCATATATTTTGTATAACATTTGATCCAAATTTGCATAATTTGTTTTATTGCTTAAACTTTTGTTAAACAATTTTTTCTCCATTAAATATATGCCATATGTTATCTGTATTAACAATAAAGGTATGGCTATTAGCCAACCAAACATAAAGATAGCCCATAAAAACAATATAATAAAGTGATATGTATTTCTTTCAATATAAATAAAATAAATTATGATTAGTATTAAATTAGATATAATTATAGTAATCCATATTAAAGTTAATATAATTGATTTCATATTTAACGGATTTGTTTTTGTATTAATTTTATTAATTATTTTCATTAATTTTGAGTAATTAATTTCAAACCATAAATAGCCAATAGTTATTATTATTAATTTTATAATAACTGAAATTCTAAACAATAAAGTTTTAAGATATTTTAGCTTGATCAATTCATTAATTGTAAACTGAAAACTTATAATTATTAATAAATATAAAATTAATTTAAAAATTAATCTTATTTTAATTAAATATTTATTTTCATTTGACTTATATAACAGATTAAAACTCATTATAAACATAATATAAGAAAATGAATTTTTTATTGAAATCATAATTCTTTATATTATTATTATTATAAATTGTAATTTAGTTATATATATAAAGTTTATATTAATATATTTTTGTTATTTCATTTGATAGCACAACTTTTATGAATATTAATATATAAAAGTTTTTTAATAAAAGATTTTCTTATCAATAACATACAGTAGTTGCCGATTTGTAAATAATATATTTCCATATATCAAATTTTAGGACAGTATTATAAATTTGTAAATAATGTAAATATAAAAATAATGTAAATATAAAAATAATGCAAATATAAAAATACTATAAATATTATTGCTTAATATATTTTATGTTTTTCAATAATATAATAAATAAAATGTACATATAAATAACTATTAATTATATTATTTATTGATCAAAATACAAGATTAAAAAACAATATTGATTTTATGAAAACATCAAATAATAATAAGTAAACTTTGATAAATTAATATATATAATTTTATTTTTTATGTAAATTAATTTAAATGTATTTAATTTAACTAATGCATTCAACAACAACAAAAAAACAAACATTATAAGTATTATAATATTGTATTAATAACAACCAAACTTTAGCCTATACATGCACTTAAACATGTAAAACAGTATAAAATTAATATATTTATCAAAAATATATATACAGAAATAAAATATTAATTTTTAATTTGCACTTATAATTTGTATTAACATAACTGTAAATGTTATGACAGAACCCAAAAATGTGAACAAAAATTTCAAATCCATAACAAATATATTAAATGCCAAATATTTAGTGTGAAAATAATATGTCATTAAATTAGTTGATAATATATTTCTAATTAATAGTTCATGTGATGTCATACTAATGTATTTAGTTTCAAAAGTAGACATTAACTGTTCAACAGTAGGTCTATTGTTTTGAAAGTAATCAATGATAACTAAATACAATAGATTTATAAAACAAATACATAAATATTCAATTAAACCAATAGTAAAACTTTCAATGTGTTCATAACTACTTGTATTAAGAGTTACATGAGTTAAACGTAAACAAGTTGTTGAAAATATTTCACAAAACGATAAAAACGTTAATAAACCAAATGTTTTGTTAAACTCTTTTCTCAATTCATATATTTTGTATAACATATGATCGAAATCCGAATAAATTATTTTATTGTCTAATCTTTTATTTAATAATTGTTTTTCTAATAAATATATACCAAATGTAATCTGTATTAACAATAACGGTATGGCTATTAGCCAACCAAACATAAAGACAGCCCATAAAAACAATAAAATAGTATGAAATATATTTCTTTTAATATAAAAATAATAAATTATAATAAATATTAGATTAATTATTATTAATGTAAACCATATTAATGTTAATATAATTGATTTTATTTTTAATGAAGTTCTCTCTGCCGATGAATTTAAATAATTATCAATTTTTTCAATAATTTTGATAATTTTCGAGTAATTAATTTCAAGCCATATATTACCTACAATTATGAACAATAATTTCACAATAATTGAAATTCTGAATAATACTGCTTTCAAAGTATAACTTAATTTCATAAATTCATAAATTGATTTATAAAAAATAATTATAATCATTATAATTTTTATTAATTTAATTAATAAGTTAATTATATATAAATATTTATATTTACTCGATTTTTTAAATAAATTGAAACCCATTATAAACATAACAAATGAAAATGAATTTATTAGAGAATACATGATTTATAAAATACAAAATATAATGTATTTTAAATATTTTACTAAATATACTATACTATAATAATGATAATTTTACATTAAATACTTATAAATATTTATTTAATGTTTCTTTTAAATATGTATTTTGTTGTACAGAAAAAGTTATTTTTATATTTTTATTATCATAAATAATAGAAAACATTAATTTATAAATTGATATGTAAAGAAATTTTATTATTAAATAAAGTATGTTTACAATGTAAACTTTACATAAAATAAATAAATAAAAAATATTTTTACTTAGCAACTTAAATACAAATAAAAAACAACTTTTTTAAATTAAATCATTTATTGAGTTTTTATAAATACAATAAAATGTATTAAAATATTAATTGCATTAAATAGTAGTTTCCTTTGTAAATGATTTACATTATTATTATTATTATTAAGCGCTCAATAATTGTATTAACATAACTGTAAAAGTAATGACTGAACTTAAAAAAGTGAACAWAAATTTCAAATTAATTTCAAACACATTGAATGCATAATATTTGTTATTCGCATACATTGTCTTTAAATTATGTAATAAAATATTATTCATAAATAATTCATGAGTTTTAAGATTAGAATTTAATGATATGTTGGGCTCAGTTAGTATCTCATCGACGGTAGGTCTATGGGTCTGATAGTAGTCAACAAAAATCACAAATAATACATTCACTGAACAAATGCTCAGGTATTCAATTAGTCCAACAATAAGACTTTTGTCATCGATTTTAAGCGCAGTATAAGTAAGCCGTAGACATGTCGATGAAAACATTTCGCAAAACCAAAGAAATGGTAATAAACCCAATAATTTGTTGAAGACCTTCCGGTACCCGTGTATTGTCCGCAATGTCCGATCTATTACTTCATAATTGTTAGTTTCAGTAATTGATTTCTGTGTCAATCGTTTCTCCATTAAATATATGATATGCGATATCTGTATAAATACCATTGGCATTGCAATTAGCCAACCAAATAAAGTTATGGCCCAATAAAGCATATGAAACATTTCAAATGTTGTCCCATTGAAATATAAGCAAAAAATAATAACTGTTATTACATTGATTGCAATTATAAATATCCATAAAATTGTCATCAATTTTGATATGAATTTTGCCGATATTTTTTCATTCCTATTGAGTTCATTGTATAGATTTTTAAATAACTTTTTGATTTGATTGAAATTTATTTGAAACATTATTTGACTAATAATTGTTACAATAATTTTGATAATCACAGACATCCTAAATAATGATTGTTTTATTGATTTGATATTTATTATGTCAATTGTAGATAATATTATTATCAAAACTACTAACAACAATTTTATTATAATAATTATATAGATAATTAAAATTTTAATATATTTATAAATTGTATTTTTGTAATTAGAATTAATGTTAATATTGTTATTATCAAAATTAAATCCCATAAAAAACATAATATACGAAAAGCTAAACAAAATTGAATTCATAATGAAATTAATAGACATAAAAAATACAGTATATATGTTAAACTAAGATCATTATTTTGAAAGTATTATAAACATTGATTTAAATAAATTATTTTTTAAATCTAAATCTATAATAATTATTTATAACATTTTATTCTAATGTTATTTTAATAATATTATAACTAAACAATATTAAAAAAACATAATTTAAAAATGGTTATTTTTATACTATTATTATAATGATAAATGATTTTAAACATTAATTTATAAATTGATATGCAAACAAATTTTATTATTAAATAAAGTATGTTTACATAAAATAAATAAAAAATAAAATAGTTTTATTTAGCAACTTAAATACAAATAAAAAACAACTTTTTTAAATTAAATCATTTATTGAATTTTTATAAATACAATAAAATGTATTAAAATATTATTT